ATGGAAAAAAGGTAAATATCACCTTTTCATTTTCATGTTTTTACTGTTTTAAGCATTCATTTTTAATAGGGTCAATGCAGTGGTGATGAATTCCCTCAATGTTTGTATGGGAAAGAATTTATTTTTCTTTCATATATGAAGCTTAATCTTGTGTTATAAAATTTTTGACTGACAGATTGTTTTTTCCTTTCAGCAGTTTTTAAATGCCATCCCAATTTCTTCCAGCCTATTTTATTTCTACTAAGAAGTCTATGTTTAGTCTGATAAGGTTTCCTTTTTAGGTGACTAGATACTTTTCTCTTGCTGATATTAAAATTCTTTCCTTCACTTCGACTTTAGACAGTCTAATAATAAATATGCTTTGGTGAAGCCCTTTTCATCATGTATTTACCTGGTAATTACTAAGCCTCTTGTATCTGGGTGTCTAAATCTCTTGCTAGACTTAGGAAGTGTTCATCAATTATTTTCTTTACAAATTTTCTAAACTTTTTTTTTTTTTTGCAGTTTTTGGCCAGGCTGGGTTTGAACCTACCACCTCTGGCAATTTGTATGGTTGGCCATGTTATATAGTCCAAAATATCTCAGAAGCTCTGTTAAATTTGAAAATTTATTTTTATTTTCATCTGACTGGATTATTTCAAGAGACCTATATTCAAGTTCTGAGATTTTTTTATCCTGCTTTATCTAGTCTATTGCCAACATTTCCCCATGTAATTTTCTAATTTCTTCACTAAAATTTTTAGTTCCAAAAGTTCTGGATTTTTTTATTTTTTGAAGGAATTTCTCATTCATACCTTGAATTGATTTCCTGAGTTCTTGTGTAGGTTTTCAAATTTCTCCACCATGTCATTGAGCTTCTTTAAAATCAATGTTTTGTATTCCTTTCCTGGCATTTTAAGGATTTCTTATTGGTTAGAATCTATTGCTGGGGAGTTAGTGTAATCCTTTGAGAGTGTCATAATGCCTTTCTTTTGCATGCTTCCTATATTTTCACATTGATTTCCAAGCATCCAGAGCAATAGTTGCTTCTTATTTTTCAATTTACTTTTGGGAAAGATTAGGGGAGATTTTTTTCCTGAAAGTTAAATGGTGTTGTTGGTTGCATAGGGCCATTTAGCTTTGTTTCTTGGTGCATGCGGTGGTGAAGACTGTAAGATTCCCTTGACTATAAATAGCCTTAGTGGATTTCTCTATATTAGGATGTAGTTATTGGTGGAGACGAAAATGAAGTTGTGCTGGGGACTGGAATTCCCTAATGGTGTCTTCATCAGGTTTCAGTGTTAGTGGCAGTAGCCAAACCCTTGTGTCTGTGGGTAGCATATGCTGGCACCTGAGTTGGCAATTCTAAGCAGGCTGACTACTGGCTTTCTTGAAAACTGGTTGTAGTAGTGGTGTACTGGGCATGTGAATGAGCAGTCAGCAAATGTTATTGACTTCCTGAGCAGCCAGAATGGTGTGAGAAGCTCGTTCCTGAGAGCTATGCTCCTGTTTTAGAAATTGTGGCAATGGACTGTGCAGGCTGGCCTCCAGGACAGCAGGAGGACTGCAGACAAAGCCAGCTGCAGTGATAACAGCAGCGCTTATGCTTGACCTTCATTTCCTGGGAGAAGCATTCTGAAGTCCCTGGTGATGCAGTGAGTTGTGAAATCCCAGGAGACTGAATCCTGCACTCGATCTCAGGTGGTGGGGGAAGTGGTACAATAATGGGTATATTGAGGCTAGCCAAACTTGCACTCAGGCGCCTCACTGGCAGGAGCATGCACCGTACTTGGTGGGGATGGCATCAAGGTGGAAATCCTCAGGCCCCTGGAGAAATGACTGAGTGCAGGGCAAACTTTGGTGTGCAGAAGACTTGACAAGGAGAGGATGGGATATACAGTTATGGATGAGGTCGTTAGAAATGCTTCTAGTCAGGCACCTTCAGAAAAACCTCAACTATTCCCTGATTTAAAGCAGAAAAGCAGACAAATACATGAATAATCATAGAGTAGTTTAGTAGTTATTCTCATGGAGGTACGTCCAATGTGCTTTATTCCTTATTTGCTAGTAGTCCATACAGTCATCTTTGCAATTACTGGAAAAGGAAGACTAATTCTCCAACACAATTGACAAGTAAGTGCAGACTGCTCCAGCTCTGATGACTACCCTACTTTCAAGTTTTATTGCCTCTCACTAAAGTGCCAGATGATGGTATAATCCCCATGTTGTGCCTTTCACAATAAAGAAATAAATACTTGGCAGGTTTATATCCAAAGTGAATTTTTTTGTTGTTTCCTTTCCCAGAAAGACAGTTAAGACAGGGTCCCAATCATATGCTAGTTGAAAGACATTGGGGTGTTGTTATTTGACTTTCTTCGACTTGCTCCAGTGATTGTAAAATGCTTACTCGCATCTCTCACGTTAAATGTTTTTCTTCACTAGTGTTCTGCACCCGAGCTTTGGGTTGTGGTTCTGTGCAGGAAAGTTCTGGCTTTTTGGCCCTGCTCTTCAGGAGTTGCAGCCTCCCCGGAGAGTTGTGGCCATTCTGCTTGGAAATATTATCTGCTGTGGGAGTAGAGGCCAGTCAACAGAAGAAAAAGAGTAAGGAAACGGGCCGTGTGGGAAGAAGACACAAGTTTAAAACAGCTAAGCAAGTTGGATGTCAATGTGTTTGCTTTTCTACAAGCCCTCTTAGAATACAATGTAGTTTCTGCCCTTAATTTTGGAAACCAAAAACTAGGATATACATGGCTGACGCAGAGTGTGCGGTGAATGTAAGTAGGAGGCCTCAACTGAAAAGGACCTAGAAACTCAGCAATCCAGACAACATCCAATTATCCAATTTGATGTGACATATTCCCTCCAAAACTGTTTCTCATGGAGTTCCCAGACATTCTGACGTTCTGTTAGAGAACTTATTAGTTAGAGAAGTTTTCCCTACCCCATATGATGTAGCATTCACTTGTACATATAAAAGTTCTATGCATGCTTGTGTGTTTTGTGTGTGTGTCTGTGTGTGTGTGTGTGTGTGTACGTCCATATGGTATGTGTGTATCTACTTCCATACGTACCCATAAACATACACAAAAGGAAAACTTATTCTGTTACTCTGGGACTCGATTGAGACAGGAATGCCCCCTAACTAATTGCAAGGCAATTAGGTAAATACTTAAGTTCCTTATCATTATGTGCAAATGAATAATGCTTTATTGAAAATTAACAATTTGCTATATGACCACATCAACTGACTAATATTTTGAAAAAGAAAATAAGACATTTTTGAGCGGTAAAATTACAGATTTCTAAAATAAAATTTTTTTTTCTCTTTCTTTTCTCTATATTTTCAGTTTTCTATAATAAATATGCATTGTATTTCATAATGAAAAAATGGGGCTGTATCTTTAATACCAAGTAAATCTTCAATGTTATATGCATTACACAGAAAATTCTTTTTCTTTTTCTTTTTTTTTTTTAACCAAAAAAGGTCTTACATGGAAAAGAAACAAATATTTCAAAAATACAAACCACTTCTGAGAGCAACATTGTTCTGGTAGTTTTGTTTTCTTGGTAGGGACCATTCCTATGCAGTGAATGTCTCATTTGTGGACCTTTTCTGGTGACTGCCTCCATCTAGCAAGGCTGTAGGATTTGGGGGGTGGAGTTTAAGTACATTTAATCTTTACTTCTCTGTGAATATTCAGGGAGTTGCTCTGACTTGGGCTTTTCCCAGCAGAAAGCCCTCTCCCCGTGTCCTTGCTGACAGAGGAAGCAACTCCAAAGTGTTCTCAGAATAGTTAGACCAGGGTACATCTGAAACAAGGATGTATGAGCCACAAACATTCCATCACTGGTTGGCTTTGCAAAATTTGTTTTGGCCTTTGATCTTTTGAGTCTTATCTACTAATTATTGAATTTGACTAAGTATGTTTCTAAGGAAATGGACAAAAAAATACAATACCACCCACGTCTCATTTCTAATATTTTCTGCACCAGAGTTATTTGATTTGATG